AACTGTATGTTAATGCGAGTGTTTAGATAGGATAGATGTGTATACACGGATGTGTTTTTTATATGTAGGCTATCGCACTGCGGGGAGTGTGGCCGGTCCCTGGGAACTGTCCTCACTCCTTGCAGACGATGTAACGCCGTTGCCTTCTGTAGCAACGTGTGCCGGGTGCATGGCTGGAAGATGTGGCACAAACACACCTGCGGAGCCGGCGGAGGTAAGTACATATACTTATTTGACATACTTACATTGTAATAAACCATGCAAGCTTTAATGAAAGAATCAAGAATCAGTGGACCAAGCTATCCCACGAACAAAATGGCAAATTGTAGAACACAAGAGCATCACGTAGTCTTAGGTCAGGGGTCACTAGCACTAGCTGAAAATAGTCCTGTAACAGCACAGTGGCCAAATCCTTATGTGCTAGCAGTCAGATTGACTAATGTATGGAATAAATTCTATACATTCTATGCACAAGTTCGTGACTGTAGCAGATTCGGATAGGCAGCCTTAGAAGCGTTCTAGGAAAAATTATGATGCCTGACTCACTAAGATAACAAAGCCTTCATTGCCCAATGCTAATTTCTTCTTGATGCATTTGACTTATGTGCTACAACCTACAGAGTGAATCAAACCGTTCTTGGTTATTCCTTTATCCCTAGTGATGTCTCATGTCTGAGATAGACAACACTGAGACGCCTCTAGTTTCAATATTTCTTCGGTATTCTCCCGACGATGGGGCACTAGTTTTTTACACTCTATAGAGTATATACTATAGTTTTGTGTTTTTCAGCACGACTGATGCATCCTTCGAGGGACGTCTGCACACAGCAGGCGTTTGCAACTACGGTGCCGATCTTGACGCGGACTGACCTGATACCGTGGCACACAGTAGCTGAGGTTGACACTCAGGTCAATGCTGAACCAAAGCAGACCCTCGCTTATTCCTACAGTGGACCGCACAATTACAGTTACATTTAGGTGTACATGTAGATATGTAGTGTATGGGATGTCTACAGTCATACGTGTAGCATATGTGATGTCTACATTCATACGTGTTGTGTATGTGATGTCATCATTCATATGTGTAGTGTATGTGAGGTCTACATTCATACGTGTAGTGTATGTGAGGTCTACATTCATACGTGTAGTATATGTGATGTCTACAGTCATACGTGTAGTGTATGTGAGGTCTACATTCATACGTGTAGTATATGTGAGGTCTACATTCATACGTGTAGTATATGAGATGTCTACAGTCATACGTGTAGTGTATATGTGAGGTCTACATTCATACGTGTAGTGTATGTGAGGTCTACATTCATACGTGTAGTATATGTGAGGTCTACAGTCATACGTGTAGTGTGTATGTGAGGTCTACATTCATACGTGTAGTATATGTGATGTCTACAGTCATACGTGTAGTGTATGTGAGGTCTACA